CCCACTGCTCCTCTCAGCAGTGTACTTTGTCAGTCTGCTTGTTCTGCTCCTCACTCTGTCTCTGGAGGATCCTCTCACCACCCCTGCACCTCTGGCCTGTATCCCAGTTCTGTATGCATAAATAAATAAATCTTTTTTTAAAAAATAGCTCAAGAACTTAGCAAGAGTCTATAAAGAACAACGTTGTTATTCTAACCCAGAATTGCCATAAGGCAGGATGACTTATAGAATATACTGTGAAGGAATTTTAGTTGAGTCTTTCAACTTTTGTAATGAGGTAGTAGCTAAAATGTTTTCCCAGGTGCTATCATGAGAAGCAGAAACACCCTTTTATGTTATAATTTATATATATGAAAACATCTTTCAGTGTTTACTACAATCCAAACATTGTTCATAAATGTGACATAAAGTTAAATAATGATGTGTTGTCAACATATTAAGATTAAAACCTTTTACAACAATTTCTATACATAAATATATTTGTGATCCACCTGAGAAAAAATTCCATTTTTAAAAACATCAAGTAAAATAAAGTATTTAAAAATATTTTTTACCTATTAGGTGCCAGATGCTGAAAACTACACAATATTTCTTGGAAAAATATAAATCATAAATAAGTTTTTTAAAGGCTTGAATGGTTAGAGGTTAAAATACTTAGTAATGTAAGATGATCATATTCCCTAAAGTAATCTACATTTCTAATGTAATTGCTATTAAATCCCTAAAGATCTTTGTTGCTGAAAAGGAATAGTTAGTCTAAAGGAAACAATAGGAAATACCTCTTCAGCCAAGTCACAGCCTCCACCTCAGCCTTCAGGGTGTTTCTGGGCCTAGTGCCAGAAATCTGTGGCATGTTTTGTGGTTTTGTAACCAGTGGCTGAAGCCAAAGGCTGATAGAGGTGGCACACCTTAGAGGGGGTGTGGTGAGGATAGATATTCCCAGGAAAAATGAAAACAAGTATAGCATTTGGGGTGGAGACTCCGTTAAGAAATATAAGGGACTACAGAAGCAATCCCCAAGATTCAATGTTTGGGATTGAGTGTTTGAGCTTGAGTGTTCAGGATTCACAAGAGCATCAAAACAAACACAATACTTAGTAATGTATTCTACCAAGGAGGTATCTTTTTTTTTTATTACAAAAGTTTATTTTTACAAGTCACCCATGTGCCATCACCATAATCCTGTGCATTTCCCTCCCCCCCCATTTTTGATCCCATTCCCCACTCCACCCCCACAAAATGTCTCTGGTATATGGTTGTTCATTATTTTGGTTATTTTCTCGCCTGGTTCATTATACTCCTGCTATGAGTGAAACCATTTGGTATTTTTCTTTCTCTTTCTGGCTTATCTCACTAAGCATGATCTTTTCCAGCTCCATCCAGTTGCTGCAAAAGACATGTGTTTCTCTTTTTTGGTTACTGAGTAATATTCCATTGTATATATGTACCACATCTTTTTTATCCAGTCATCTACTTTTGGGCATTTGGTCTGCTTCCATGTTTTTCCAATCCAAGGAGGTACCTTATTAAGTGTTTTCCAAAATTTAACCTGCGACATAAAAAGGGTAAGATTTTGATAAAATAGAAGAAACAAACAAATGGAAAGTAACTTGTATCCATGGGTGGGAAAATTCATATTGTTAAAATATTTATACTATCCCAAAAACATGTATAGACTCAACATAGTCCCCATTATTGTTTCAAAGATATTTTTATAGCAATAGAAAAAGTAATTCTTAAAAATCTTTTGGAATGTCCAAAGACATCAAATAATGAAAATAAATATCATAGCATGAATATAGATTATGGAGCCTAACAGCCTATATTCAACTTCCAGTTGCTAGATATTTGACCTTGGGTTAATTTGTATGCCTGGCCCAGTTTCTTCAACTATCAACTGGCAATAATTATAAGCATACATACTTTGTAAGTTATGGACAAACTTACAGGTATGTTTGAAAAATATGTGGGTCATCAGTCATATCACAATTGCTCTCTCTGCCTCTATATATCAATATCTATCAATATCTATCTATCATCTATCTATCTATCCATCTATCTATCTATCTATAATGAAATTTGGAATTTAATCTGACACAATGTATAAACTCCTTAGGTTGGGCATGGCTGTAAGTAGAAAACACCTACAAACCATGTTTAAATTAATGAAGACATTATTGAGTGAATTGCAAGTGTCACCTACACACACCAAGTTACAGAGATTTATAAGTAAAATCACAGGAAACATACCTACTCATACCTGCCTTCTTTAATTCTGTCAAGAAATCAACAGTGCTTCTTGAAACCTGTAATCCAGCAAACTCCATTCTTTTTCCTAATTCCAGATTCCATAGGCCTTATCTGAACCCTAGGGAGAAATTTCACCCCCAGAATTGGGGTGAAGAAATATAAAGGACTGCAGAAGCAACCCCCAAGATTCATTGTTTGGGATTGAGTGTTTGAGCACATAGAAAATGTGACTTGGAGAAAATATTTCTATGACCTTTTACAGGTCTAGAAGAGGATTGACACAGAGTAGTATGTTGGGAAAATTATCAAAAAGAGTGAGTCTTGTGTTATGTCAGCAACACTGGTGGGATCTTGGTGGCTAAGTTGTTCAGTGGCAAGCACATTTCAGAGATTCTACCATAATACCATCCATATATTGGTGATAAAACCCATATGTCAATAATAAAATCAGAATCATCTTAATGGGTGTAAATTAATCCAATATTATGATTTCTGTATGATTCCTATGTGACTTACTAGCTCAGTAATAATGATAATGGTATTTATGTTTTCTCATGTCCATTTCATTTATACTAATTTACTTCATTTGTGTGTGTGTAGGTGAAAGAGAGAGATTTGGTATGGTCTTTGTTTTTATTCATAGCTTGATGAGCACCATCTAAGTAGCATCAAGTATTCTATATTAGGGAACCTTAATATATGTTAAGAAGGCATATTACAAAAGCTAAAAAACTAGGTTAAATTTCAACTCATAAAAATAATATTATTTCTGCTTTTGTTAGTGCACTGTAAATAGTTTTTTCCATCTGCTCCATAAAGACAAAATACACTCTTAAGCATCTAAGAACTTCAGTAAAAAAGGAACTTTAAAAGAATTAGCATACAATAGATGGTAGAGAAGGAATATAATTTTCAAGTGGAGCAACCAAAGTTACCTATGCCTTGTGGGTAGATGTAGCTAAAAAGGATTAGCCCAAAGCAAGGCCACTAGGTCTAAAAGTTTGCTACAAGTCTAAGGTACCATCTGGTGGGGATGCATAGGAACAGGGTAGAAGGAGTCAGGCAAATCTGGAAGGCAAAGAGCAAAATCAAAATGCAAGTTAAGATAAAGTCTGCATGGCCCTCCCTGGTGGTGCGATGGGTTAAAGCACAGCACATGCAGTTCTCTGTAGCCTGAGTTTGATCCCTAGCCAGGGAAGTGATCCACATGGTGTGGCAGACATCTCCTGTCTCACCCACTGTGCCTCTTAGCAGTGTATTTCAGTAGATCTTAATTGAGTGATGCATGAAATTAAGAGCCATTAAAAGACATTCAAGTGTTAAAGGAAAGCTTCAGCGGAAAAAAAGAATTAGACAATTCAGAGGCACTACAGGAGTACTGCAGCATGGAGTTAGCTACTAATAAGAGAGGAGGCCCAAATCACCACCAAAGGATAATACGAATCTCTTTTAAAATAATTAGAGAAAATTTGGATGGAAAAAAAAGCTTATCAGAGATATTAGTAAATTTCACAACTATATACATCAAAGTTTCATCTAGTAGTTAGCAATTCGTGAAATATCAGATAAATAGGGGTCAATAGAATAAATATGCCAGCACTTGAAGTTAAATGTCAGGCACTGTATAAGTCTTGCTAGTTGATGCAGACACCGCGTGCACTTTCCTTAGCAGTTATTATAATGTCACAGTAGTTGGGCCTCTGTGGTGGCTCAGAGGTTAAAGTCTCAATGCTATCAAGCTATCACCAGCAGCTGCAGTGTGAATTCCATCCCTGACCAGAGATGTGATCAACATGGCACAGCAGACCTCTCCTATGCCCCCACTGCTCCTCTGTATCTATCTCTGTAAATCTGTCTGTTCTGCTTCTCCCTCTGTCTCTGGGGAATCCTCTCCTCCCAATCCTTCACCACTGGCCTACATGCCAGTTCTTGTATGCATAAATAAATAAAAACAAATCCTGAGAAAGAGTACAGTAGCTATAGTGGAGAAGATCACTGGGACTTTTTGGATTTGAATTTTCACAAAGCAGTGTTAAATTGTAGATTGTTCCAAAGGAATTGCTGACATCACAGGGCATGGAATCCAGGATTGACTAGAATAGAAGGGAAGAAAAGAAAATGAGCCCGTGATGATCTGGCACAATTTCTGGTCTTGAGAAGAGGTATCTATCGTGTGAGTATTCAAATAACACAATATTTAAAATCGGAAATATGATGTGTGAACCTGTTTTCTGAATTATTTGTTTTTAATCATTAACACTTGTGTTGATAGAAACTTATAGGGTAAGAGAATAGGTCACCAACAGAGGAGCAGTAGGAACTACTGATTCAGACCCCAAAGGAACTATGCAAACAAAGAGGTCACTAAGTTAACCAAGTGATTACACAAAGAAGAGAGTAGAATAGTAGGAATTGGGATTTATGAAAAGACTGGGAACAATGTGTCACAAGAGGGAGTACTAGGACTTGTGCCAATGAGAGTGACAAACACAAAAAGTGAACAAAATTATATACATAACAAGGGGACATTATGAGAAAGCAGGAGAAATAAGCTGGGGTGAGTCTTAAGTTTAGTCCTTGAGCTTTAATGCTTTTGACCCAAATCTATGTGATGATGTACAGATCCAAGCCCAGAGGGATAGAGAGTGTAATCACAAGACAGCTTAGACAGTTGTCCTCAGAAGGTAGGTTTCATTCCTTGTTGATCCAATTTCACAATTTATTTGATAGGTTAAAGGAAAAGGAGGAGGATGGTCAAGACGTCACAGAGGAAGCCTCATAATTGTGGAAAGCATTTCAAAACAAATTCTGGTTTAAGCATATCCAACCCCTTGAGGATGTCCAGTTACATATTCAAGAGACCGGTTACTAATATCACATCTCATCCTGACAATGAGGTCAGATATCACCACTGGGAAGAAACCTTGGACAAGCCCCAACAGTGCTGGTGGCAGAAGCGACTACAAGGACTGCAGGCCTACAGCAGCACAGGAGAAGAGTTAAGTACTTTAGATCTTATCAAAACCTTCCAACAACTTTCACCTATTTGCAGAGGTGAGTCCTTTTCAGATGTTCTTGCTGGTAGTCTGGACTCCTGCCAGACTTCAGATTTGGAAGGAGTGATTTCAGGGTCTGGTCTGCGCATCCCACATTTCCCCTGCAGACAACTGGTAACTGAGGAAATCATCAGGACACAGGAAAGTAAAGTGAAGATGGCAAGAGAGAGACTGGCAAGAGCATTGATTGCAGACAGCCTTGCAACTGAGGCAGAGAAAGCGAAGGGTCAAAAAGGACATCCTCAAAAACACTATGAAAAACAGAGATGACATTGACAACATGGAGCATGATACTTTATTAATATCCTTTTGCAGTGTCTGTAATATTTTCTCTCTGAGTTCTTGAAACATTAAAATGTAATAATATTTAAGTTTATCAAAATTGTCTGTGTGACAGAAAAGAGACAGTGATTGATTTCCTTTTGAAGTGAGATACTGTATTTCAGGTAAGGAGAGAAAGATCTTTCCTTTGTGTGTTACAGTCTCATTTTCATTTTACTATTTGTATATTAAAGTCAATAGACATTAAACAACATGTATTATTCCCTCTCAGACACAGTAAAACCTACCTAGTAGTAGTGAGTTGTTCTCTTGGTATATTACTTGTTGTACAACAATCTCAGGCTGGACAGGTTTGTTGTCATTTCTCACAGAATAAACGAATTTTGGAGGCTTTAGTGGATTTTCCAGGCTCTTAATGTTGAAATAGGGACTGTCTACACAACCAGGAAGAGAGACTGAGATATAGAGAACATCCCTTAACATCAGCTGTTTGCTGGGTGTTAGAAAGATAGAAAAGAGCATTTGAATGTTGTGGACTGCCTGTTGTGTGAAAGGTGTAAAATTCCCTGGTTTTCAACTCATTTTCCTTACCAAATTTTAGTAGATTCCAAAATATTATTTCAATTGAGGGGTTTTGTGTGCTTAAATGATATAGGTATGTGCTTTAATGATTTATTGACTTCCAGCCTTCATTCTTATAGTATTTGCTCCATGTTGATACAGACCTGCATATAAGGACAAATCAAACTCAGTAGCTGACCTATATGTGTTTGAAACTGGTTCATAAAAATTCAACTGTCAGTTGGGGATCATGCCATCAAGAGGGAGTATTTTCAGCACCATTACTTGAACAGTAAGTTAGTGCTTATTACCCCTCATAAACATCCATAAACCCTAAGACTTATTTTTGACAATTACAATTTCATCTCTAGATGTTTTGGTACTCAGAACATAAAACTTTCTCCATCCTACTCCATTAAATACAATGAAACATCTGCCTCTTGCTAAACGATATTCTAAGCCATATATGTTCCATCTCTGTCTTAGAAAATAAATGCATTCATATCTATGATGCTGGTGGGAGCAAATTGACACTCACTCTTCTTGTCCTCAACATCCCTAATCTCTTCATTCCCCCAAACATATCTTCTCCTAGTCCATCTGCGGAGCTTTGGACCCAATCCTTTTGGATTATTTCAGTTTGGGATTATCTATTACTACTTACACTGGAACAGAGATTATATGAACATTGAAAGACTCTTTGCTAATTTAATTAACAAGTTTAAAAAATTTTTCTGAGGCCCTCCCTGGTGGCGCAGCAGGTTAAAGCACAGCACTGAGAAGCTAAAGCCACTTCTGCAAGAGTTCAATTTCCGCCTGCCCCAGAGGTGACCACATGGCATGGCAGACCTCTCCTGGCCCGCCCGCTGCTCTCCTCAGCAGTGTACTTCCTCGATCTGCCTGTTCTGCTCCCCACTCTGTCTCTGGTGAAGCCACCCCGAGCCTCTGGCATGTACCCCAGTTCTGTGTGCACAAATAAATAAATCTTAAAAAAAAAATTTTTTTCTGAGATGTAATTCATGTCCCATACCACACTATGCATCTACTTGAAGTGTGCAAATCAATGATTTTAAGATGTTCAAAATATGTAACTATTATCAAAGTTTTAAATCACTATTACAGCAAAAGAAATATCTATGCCCATATATGCAGTCACTCCCATCTTCACCACAGCCCTGAACTATCTCTCATTAACCTAGTGTCTATAAGTTTTCCTGTTCTGGCCCTTCAATACACATGGGATCATACAATGCAAGGTCTTTCACAATTGGATACTTTCATGTAACATAATGCTTCATCTACTGATGTGCCACAATTCACATATATTTGTAGCACATATTGTGATTTATTTTATTAAGAGGCCATTTTTAATCAGGGTCACTGTTCCGGAGCCTGCCCCACTCCCTATAACTTGGAAATCAAATAAGCCAATTTGGGTGGAGCAGTGGCCCTTAACTCAGGAAAAACT